AAATTTCTAGTGCAGTCTATGTTAACAAATTCTTGGTGGCTAATTTCGTTTCTTTATGTTACTCTTTTTGTTTGTAGCATGATCCACGCTCACCGCACCTATTCAGGGTGTTGAACCCAGATTTATCCTTGAATAACACTCAAGAAATAGACTGTTAGGAAGGAAAGAGAACGATGGAGAAAGAACTGAAAGGGATTAGGAATATTAAAGAGGATAATTTTGTAGCTCTACGGGGTAAAAAATCAAAATTCGGTCTACATTGAATACCCCCTATTTCAAGAGGTTGGTCACTGTAAAAAGACATGTTTAAGCCTATATTATCCCTATACTTCTAAACACACAACTGCCTATAATAGACATATCCTCACTAAAAGTTGGGGTCTTGATGACTTCCCTTGGTTGACTCCATTACCAAAATCAAGAGATTCAAATATATTTACATGTCTAACACTTTAGGTTCACTTTTTACATTTATAACATCCAAAATTTTCATATCACATCAAAAATAGCAATATTTTATCTTTTAAAAAGTAAAATACACCTTTTAATGCAAAGGTAAGATAGAATGAATGTAAGAAAGAAAGTCTAGGTGTTCAAATGTAAATACATAGGACCATAGAGGTATGTATGTAAATTTTCTTTGTTATATATGCACCATTATAATAGTGAAAAATATCAATTCAATCACCTTAACAAAGTATTGGAAAATTAATGTTTTAATTCCAGATGCACTATAATAGAGGTCTTGAAGTATAGAACGTAAAATTTGATATGTACTCATATTGGATTTTCAGGATGAAATTTTGTTGGCTATCAGGATACCGAATGGCAATGTTTTGGGTGCCTCTAAACATCTTATATGTTGTATAATTCAAGCAAAATAATTCCAATAAACAGTGATACAAATGTTTAAAAAGGTTATATAATAGTAGATATGGCAAACATGATATTAAACTTTATGTTAAATATGAGAATGTTATTCAACAAGGAGACGATAAGAGATATGGCACCAGTGTGCCGATATTGGGTGATGGATTGGACACAATAGAAGGTAATAAAATACCTCAAGGCATACATATGTTATTCAACAAGGAGACGATAAGAGATATGGCATCAGTGTGCCGATATTGGGTGAGGGATTGGACACAATAGAAGGTAATAAAATACTTCAAGGCATACAAGAGGATAATGAGCTATAGAAATTAGCAGTGTGGACCAAAAAGACAAAAAACAACTGTGAATCTCACATGACAAAAAATTTGTAATGATTGCAGTTGTGAAGATTTGAGATGGTGTTGCTAAGCAGGGTTCAGTGACAAGTGGGTCTTCGTTGTCTTTAAAATAGAAGATAAAAGTACAAATGCATATTTGGATCTGTCTATGAATAGAAAGCCTGATAGGTTAAGCAATTAGTATACAGCCAAATAGTTGTCTGAACCCGATTCAAGCCTAGTTGGCCAAGTTAGAAAGATTAACTTATTAAAGCCATTAGAAAATAAAGAACTCGCAGCCATCCTTAAGTTGGCCCAAGTTGTGCACTTAGGTGTGGGCTCCAAAATTCGGCAGCCTCCTAAGAACTTTCTGTATTTATTTTATTTTGTATTGTTGAGAGAACTTCGGAAGGTCAAATTTTCAGAAGACAGATTGAATTGTACATAAGACATTACCAAAAGCTTTCACCCTCATTTTCCTATTAGCGCAAGCCCCTATAGTTAATTAGCCCTCTTGATAATAGGAGAGCATTTTCAATTAAAGCTAGTCATTAAGAATTGAAAATTTAGCATATAATAGCAGCAAACATATAATATTTTAAATATAATCTATCACTTAAAGCTTAAAGTGGATGGTGTGAAAATGAAGACGAAACCCGATCAAAATCCCATAGTTTCGTCATCTCGGGCCGCCATAATCCCTGATCTACTTGTTCAGAGGAGGTAGTTGACACAATCTGACTAAAAGATCTTTGTCAACAACTATGGGTTGCGTTGTCCAATGTGACTTTGTAGATCTGGCATGGATGTTTAACTGAGGGGATAATTTTGAGCCGACCTTAACTGACAAAAGACTTTGTATCAATCAATTGTACCCTTATGATTCACAGCTAAGAGTAGAAAGTCATTGAAGAATATACACGTTGTGGTCGTGACCATAATATAATGATGTCATTTGATGGTAACCACCCGGTCAGAAGGATCTGGTCGTAACTTCTATTTTGTAGTGTCATTTTGTGACAAAACCACAAAGACAGATGACTCGGGTCACGCCCTTACTGGCATGGAGTTGTTTTGATTGTGAATATATGAATACACTTAATAAGGCATTAGCTCTTTGTGAACTAAAGTCTATCAGAAATTTGTCACCCTTGACAAATTTTTGCGGAGGGTGGATGAAATTTGCTTCAAGTATTTAGTGATAAATTTTAACTTAGACATTTTGATTGATTAATTTGAAAATGTTGATTTAAAAGATTAACCCCTCCGTTTGAAATATTTGATCATCGAGGTCATCATCGATGATTGAAATATTTAAAATATTTAAATTTAAAGGGGCATTTAAATTTGTTATTTTATAATTTTTAAAGTATAAGTCTGGTCAACTCCTATCCTTATAAGGAGGATCAGAAAATGTAATTTGAACTTGTAAATTTTTATTTTAAGATTTGAAAATTTATTTCAAAATTACGAGAATCGTCAATTCCAGCCCTTACGAGGATCAAACTAAGTGATTTGGACTTGTAAATTCTTATTTTAAGATTTAAATATTTATTTCAAAATTACTATACTCGTTGACTTCAGTCATTGCGAGGAGGATCAAATTAGTTGGGTGCGACTTACAACCCTATCTTCTAGACAATGTGGCATAGTTAGCCCGCATAGCATTCTCAAACCTAGTATTTGAGCATTCAATACAATGGTTAGAGCACAAGCGGGCTTTTAATTTCACATATTTGAATATCTAAAAATGTTTTATAAGCTTTAAAGACTTGCCTAAGTTTTAAGTCATGAATTTAATATGGACTTTACATCATGAGGCACATGATTTTGAAAATATGTGCAATTGATTTGCTTTTATAGATACCTTAAGGCATACATAGCTCACTAGTATCCCAAGTGGTACGTTTAAGTCTTAAGAGTGGACTCACAGTTTAACATATTGCATTTGACTTGGGACGAAATTTTTATAAATTTTGAAATCATTTGGAGCTTAAAGTATTTGCAAAACTATTATGATTTTAGCTTTTAAAAAGGAACAGCCTTCTACTCTTTTGCAAATGTGTTATGAATCGGTTGGAGAGAATTTAAAATTTCACAAGGCCTCATATTTGAATTATTTCTCGTCCCCTAGAAGCCTAAGTTGATAAACTCAATCTAGAGTTGATTTTCAAACACTAGGGGCATAAGTCTGAAAAAGCTTGATTTCACTTAAGTGAACCCTAACCCTCTCTTCTCACTAGCTACATAGCAATTTTCCTAAAAAAAAATTATAAGATGATTAAAAAGAAAAGTTGCTTTCTTGCTTGATCATGTTGGGTTTCTTAATATTTTGCTAAGGTGGTGAGTTGTGGTTCTTCGCTCACGACCTCATCAATGGGTAAGAACCATTTTCTCTTTGTTGAAACTTTTATTGTTGTTTTATTTTGAATAATATTAATTGTTTAAGTGTTCTATTGGGGAACATGATGAGAAGCTGCCCATGCCATGAACAATCCTAGGTAGATGTCTTGATAAATAGAATGTTGTACAGAAGTAAAATGCAACGTAAGGTTTCTCTGCCCTATGAAAGAGCAGCATTTTTTTAGTGTAAATTGTGCATAAAATCCTAGATGTGAAGAGCACCTAAGCTTGCATGTCTTATTGTCTTTACACATTGTCCTTATAGTTGCAATTTTCATATCTAGCACATTTTTGCTAGATCTTTGAAATTAATTTTTAAAAATATATTTGTCGCTTAATATTTAAAATTTATTTGTATTTCAAAGTTCACCAAAGAATCATTTAAGAGCATGAAAAGTTGGCCCCATAAACCAACGATTAGCATAAAAAACTCAGCTCTATAATTTGATTTTTCCTTGCCAAATGCGCAGACCATTACTATCCGCAGATGGCTGCCATTCTAAATGTTCCCATGGAGGTTGCTGATTGGCTGCAATTGAAGTGGGCAGTGCCCATTGAATTTACCCACCTGTAATTGATGCAGCTGAGATTGAGAATGTATGTAATTGACGTGGTTCTTACAGGACATAAAGAGTGAATTAGAGACCAAAGAATCAGATATGCCATCACACACAACCAGAAGTTGTGTAATTTTAACAAAATGATTTCAAGGGACTACCAAAATGTTGTTACATAACACAAATATGGTATGTCACATGCCTGTGTTCACAACACAAGCAATGGATTCAATAACATAAGAACTTCTCCAAAAAGGACAAGTAGTGGGGAGCACAACCACCAGTGACTTGTTGCTTGAGATCAAATAAAAAAAAAATCAGCAGCGGAGATTAGGGAACTCAGAGTTTTAGGCATCCGTTTCGCCTCCCAGTTTACACACAAGCTCAAAGGAGGAAGCAATGAATTTTGGCGAGCACTGATTCACTACACTTGTTTGGTGATGAGGAGTCATCTTTATCGAGTTGGAGGAGAATTAATGTCAATAAAAATATCCACAATTTACCTGGTAGTAATGTGTATAGCTTCATGAAAGCAAATGATGAAGATTTTCTAATGTCATTATGCTCAGGGAACCATTTTGAAAACTGAGAATTAAGATCTCAGTGAAGAGTTAAAGGTGTCGTTAAACATTGACTATAGTAACTGATCCCTAAACCTCAGAGATGTTTAATTCGCCAAATAAATTTCAAGTGTCAAATTCATAGCAAGCAAATGAGACTTGTAACATCACAGCAACAGTGACTAATAAAAGAAGCTGACAAAAAGCACATCTAAATGAAGCCAAAAACATAAAATAAATAAGTTATGCAAGAGAGTTTACAGACTCACACGAGTGTTAGAAACTAAATTGTCAACCACGCTTTTCTGTTGCTCTAGCTGAGCTTTCATTGAGTTGGCGTTATCCTGAAAGATTATGACAAAGAAACAATCAGAAAACCAGGAAGATAACATATCAATTTTAAGCTTCAATAAAAATCCAATTATCCTTAGCCTTATGCATAGAACACTCAAAAAATGCACAAAGAAAAAAATAAATAGTAGAATTAGTTCTTCGTATAAGACCATCAATACGAATTTAGTTATCAATATGTACATGCGAATTTAGTTATCAATATGTACATGCACGTAGACAGGACCTTATTTGCTCCAGATTTAGCATTAAGCCAATGGATTGAGATCATCCATCCAATGTAATTCAAAATGTTGTGCCGTAAAAATACCCTATTTTTCTGCCAATTTACCAGAAAAATTGGCATTATTTCTGACTGTGACGTGGGAATGCTCTGCGTCACATGTTACGTGGGTCGTGTGATTCCCGCGAGAGCCTGAGACATAGAGATGGGCCGATCAATCCCGATTTCCTTTTTTTTTCTATGTTTCCTATCAACCTTCATTCTTTTTAGTCCTTTCCTATATATGTGTTTTATTAAGGTTTGAAAGGTAATTTTTCATGTGTTTTGTACAGCCGCCAGTCCATTTTTCTCACTTCGAGGGTTGTACCTGAGGGATCGGGTGGTTCTCCAACTGTATTTCTCTCTAAGGTGACGAATATCTTCCATACTTCGTTTTGCATCTTCTTCACAATGCTCCCGACCACCCTCCATTACTGCAGCCACCCCTGAACAACAATCATTTGCTATTTTTCACTGCAGTCCAATTCCAGCCCTTCTTGCTCGTTGTCACCGCTCCGAACAGCTACCCCTTGCTGTTCTCCAGTCCACAGCCCTTCCGCCACGCTATCCCTCACTGTCTCAGCCCTTCGCTATGCTGCCAACGCAATTCCAGCCCCTTCTTTTGTTGTCCCAACCAGCCACAACTTATTTCAGCCACCTACCTCAGCTCTCCAACCACGTAGCTAATCTCCCCACCCATGATCGAGCCCTATTTTGTGTCGTGTTTATTGTAATTTCTCTTTCAAGTGTGTTTTATTGTAACCGCCTATTTACTTTCAGTAATAATATTTATTTTTCCTATTGTGGTTTGGTTTAACTCTGGTATCATTGGTAGCAGAGTTAACCTAACTCTTAATTTCTATCCAAGGGTTTCTAGTAACCACTTAAATTTTTTCTTTTCCCTCCGCCCTGTACACCTCCTTCCACCTACCTACACCCAAACCTTAACCACACCGCAAAGGAGACAATTGATGCAATCTGATAAAAAATTAACTATCGACGACACACAACAGGTACTCTGCCAAGTACAACATCAACCCGACACACAACAGCTACTCTTCCAAGTACAACAGTGACTTTGCCACAATATATTTAGCACTCATTGCACCGTGAAGGGAGATGTATGCATCATCATTGATGGGGATAGCAACAAGAGTGCAACATCAAAGCTAATAGTGGACAAGTTGAGCATCATGACTCCATGATATCCCTAGCCATATTCCCTAACATGGTTGAAGAAGGAGAGGAGGATAAGCATTGACAAGAGGTGATTCGTGGAATTTCAATCAGGAACCATCTACAAGATTAGATTGGTGTGATGCCATAACTCCCACGATAAAAGAAGGAAACATGAATATGAGATACCAATAGTAATAGATTATAGAAATATAAACACCTAATAATATAATATGCTAAAACAAAAACATCCTAAAATTCCAACACCCCCCTCAAGTCGGAGCATAAAAATCTATCATGCCCAACTTGCTTACAAGGAACTCAAAACTAGGCCTGAAAAGTGCTTTGATAAATATATTTGTTATTTGTTGAGTTGTCGGAGTGAAAGGCATGCAAATAGCTCCACAATCAATATTCTTTTTTATAAAGTGTTTATCAATCTCTACATGTTTTGTGTGAACATGTTGCACTAAAATTTCTGTAATGCTTATGGTTATTTTATTGTCACAGTACAACTTCCATTGGCATGTTTATCGTGATATGTAGTTCTTCAAGAATTCTCTTCAACCATAAAATCTCATATACTCTGTTAGTCATAGCTCAATATATTGCCTCGACTCTACTCTTTGCCACTACATTTTATTTCTTACTTCGCTATATAACCAGATGTCCTCAGAAATAAGTACAGTATCTGAATGTCAAATCTCCAGTCAACAGCTAAGCATGTCCAATCTACATTGGTGTATGTCTCTATGTTCTTTTGTGTGGTCTTCTGAAAAAAATAAACCATTACTTGGTGTATTTTTTAGGTATATGAGAATTCTATTAACTGCTTCAAGATATTTTTCAAAGGGTGAATGCATAAATTGACTTATCAAGTGTACAACAAAGGCGATATATGATCGTGTATATGATTAATATATCAACTTTTCCAAGAACTTGTGATATTGAGTCGTATTCACCGGGTCACCTTCTTTCTCATCTCCAAGTTTTTGATTGGGATCGACTGAAGCATGTAAGCCTTACCCCCTTACAAGCAGTAATGGGATGACTGAAATCCTTAGATTTAGGATTAGGGCAAGATTCGAGTTCGGGACTATAAGATTCAGAACTTGAAGTTAAAGTGGGATGTTACCTGAAGAATTCATGGATCCTGGGCAATGCAAGGATTCGCAGACTCTTTCTATTGAGTCGTCCTTTATCGTGAGTGGACAATGTCAAATGGTACCAATATTGTGATTCTTTTTTTAGTTTCCTCTTTGTTAATTGTTGTAGAATTAAGAACAACATAAGATGACACTATAGGAAGCCTAAATCGTCTTTTGTATCAAAAAAGCTCAATTCATTTTCTCCTGATATAATATAGCTTGGATTTTTAAGGTTGAGATCAAGGTTGGGAAGATATAATTTTGTGAGTCTTCTGTTTGAAAAATGCGGGAAAAATAATAGTTCAATCTTTATTTTGTCCCTCCCCCTTTGAAGATGAGGTGAAGAAGGGATTGTAATTCAAAAAAGTGACATCCATGGAGATACATTTTTTTAGAGAAAGGATTAAAATATTTATAGCCCTTTTGGGTGGGAGTATAACGAACAAATAAACATTTTATGGCTCAGGGTTCAAGTTTTCTTTGAATATAGATGTGAACAAATGCAGAGCACCTAAAATCTTAAAGGTACAAAAGATGTGAAATGATTTATTAGGTAAATTTTATGAAAATATATAAAAGATCTTTCAAAGTTCAAAACTTTATTAGGTATTTTATTTATGAGAAATGTAGCATTAATAAACGGCTCACCAAAGATATTTTGGCACTTGATTTGTAAATAGCAATGCCCGAGCTACTTCCAATAAGTGTATTTTTTTTCGTTTAGCCACACAATTTAATCATGAGTTGTCGGTACAAGAGCTTTCATAAATTATTCCTTTTTCGAAAAAAATTTGACCTAAAATATTTTCGAAACTCTCAATCATTATCACTCTGTAATATTTGAATAGTTTTTTAAAATTGTGCTTGTACCATAATGTAAAAGTTTTTTAAAATTATTTCACTTCATATTTTTCTTCATAAATACACTTAACTTAACCTTGCGTGATCATCAGTAAGATAAACCATTTTTTCCAGAGTGTGTATGGTGTCTATAAAACCTCAAATATCACTATGAATTAGAGTAAAATGTATAATTGATATGTAAATTCAAGGAGAAAAATGTGCATGATGATGTTTGGCATACTGATAGATTTCATATTGAAAAGATTACACTTTTATTTTGAAATAAACTAAAAATGAAAACTTTTAAATATTGAAAGTTAGGATGATCTAACCAACATTGCCATAATATAATATCATTATCTTTGGAAATAAAATCAGAATTTAAACAGGTACTTTGACAATGTTTATCCGTATCAAGTAAATCGTCAAAGTAAGTCTTATCATTTTTCTTAGCACCGTCAATCATCCTCCCAAAAATCAATTCCTGAAACTCACAACAAAAAAGTAGCAATTAACCTAATACTGATAATCAGAAGCAACTTTGCTAAAAGATAATAGCTTACAAGGCAAATTGGGAACATAGAGAACATCATTAAGAGTTAACAATGAGGTGAGTTTGATAGTTCTTATCTCCACAATTATCAAGAGGAAACCAATCATATGATTAGTTGCGTCAAAATCAATTATCCAAGAATAAATTAAATTAGGGTTAAAACCTAACAATACAGCGGCTAGAGAATTATCCTTCTGCACTAAAAAGCAAGACGGGGTCAGTGACAATTTTAGAGATTGAAACGGCTTATGCAGGTGCAATAAATGCTCCTTGGTGAAAGGTATTGCATTCAAGTTGGTATAAGGCTCTTGAGTGTCATTAATTGAGGCTTGGTAGACCCAACCTCCACATTTAGATTTTGGTTTCCAATTCGTGTGTTTACCGTGAAACTTTCAACATGTCTCATTCATATGTCATAATTTTTTCCAATGCTCACACCACCACCATGGGTAGGGAGAATTAGTTTTGAAATTATTGGAACCAGTGGAAACGGTAGAATTTCTTTGTGCATCAAGCATCGCCGACTTGTAAGACATTATCCAAGGAGAGAAGATTTCGGTCTCGAGTTAATTTGATGCTTAGAGTTGAGTGGAGGAAAAGTTCATGGATGGTGTTGTAGCGGATAAGAAGTCGAAGGGATTAAAATGAATTGAGTATTTGATAGCCGACATTCGACTCAGGATTCAGTTCATACCTTCAGTTCATGGTACTCGAGAACGGAAGTCTTCTTTGAAAACTAGATGAGGAACATAAACAAGATTAATTCCTCTTTTTCTCGAATTACCAATTCCAATGGTGTTAAAAACCGAGAAGAAACGAGCGAAGAAGAAGCACGACGAGAAGCCCGTCATTGAATACCAAAAAAATGAAGAAAAAGATAAAACAGAGGTGGTGGAGAATGTCCCAGCCGAAAAGAATCTGACCACCGAGAGCTCGACCTGCGCAATTTCAACGCCAGAGCAAAAAAAGATGTCGGGTCTCTGAACACCGCAATCCATCCATTGCCTTCCC